CGTCACAGCGGAGGGATGTAGCGAGGAGCGCGGCAGGAAATGAGTGAGTGGAGTTTAATCCAGCCAGGAGTCTGCTCAGCACGTGTGGAGCTGTCGCGCATAATTGAGTGGTAAATCCTGCTGGAAGCTGGAAGACTGAGGGTTTTTTTCTTCCAGAAGTGATTATTGGTTTGCTCCCAAATACCTCTTTAGAGTTCCAATAGTCAGACTGTAAGGCTAAGCAGTTTCCAGCTATCCACATGTGGAATCTCTGGGAATGTTTTAATCGGAATTTTCTATCATTATATAATTTATTATGTTGCGTCAACTTAACAGCTTAAAATGACTTCCCTTTACCTTAAGCTGCATATAACTCACAATGGAAGAATAATATCATTAAGGATTAGTGTTGCATAACTTTGCCAGGCATAACAGGCATGACAACAGAAAAGGCTTGCCTTTTTTTTTTTTTCTTCTGTTTAAAGGGAAGGGTCTGGATGCTAGGATATTGGCCTGAATTGTAGTAGAGATGGATTCAGTTGATGACTGCTGGCAGCGTAGGAAAATTCACCCTATTTTGTTCTGAACTTGAATCTGGCGCTGTAGAGTTCTGACCATAATGGTCAGGTTAGAAGTGGTTGCTCAGTGGGTGATAAAATCCTCATTTGCAAGGCAACAGATTTTTGTGCCTACCTTTCTTTGTAGCATTTTTAACTAATTAATCTCTTTTCTTAGACACCACAGTGGTTGCCTTTAGAAAGCTGTATGTCTATAGAAGAAATACACTTGTTCACAAGCCCTGTGTGTCCCCCGGTCCATGTGCAGTTTGTGCAAAGTTCTACTGCTCTGGGTAGACACAGGCATTTTCACTCATCTTGCCCTAGTGTAAAGGGTAAAGGCACTGGGCCCAGTCCCAGCTGCAGCCTGAGTGGGTGTGAGGACACTGCTGCTGAGGTGCCAGTAGAGAGATCTTCTTCTGCTGGCGCTGGCTCCTTCAGTTTTCCTTTGCTCAGACTTATGTGGGAGAATTTCTGAGCCTTCTTTGTACGTTCATTTCTAAAGGCGAATCACGTGGCCGTGTAAAGACCATAGAAGCCTATCATAAAATGAAGAGTTTTCATCTCCTGTTTGAAGTAAATTTCAGCATCTCGGGGCCCAGCAGAGACAGTTGCTTTCTCCCTTTAAAAATGGGACCATCTCCTTTCAAGGGCTCGACCTCTTTCCCCTCCCCTGCCTCCCAGGAATCTGGAGTGCTGTTAATGCATTCCTTGTGTGAGAAGACTGCTCATACATGCCATGTGGGGACATTTTCCAGCTGGCACAACTGTGGTGGACCCAGAGAGGAAGATAAGAAAGTCCCCTTCATTTAGGTTGTGAAATACAATTTGCCTTAGAGCTATGACTGTAGCTGGGGCTGGGCCGGGCCATTATAGCAAAGCAAAACAAGAAAGTGAGAAAGTGAACAACATGAAGTTGCAAGGTCTTAAAAGTGGCCAAAAAGATGCTGAAAAGTG